TGCAACTGGGAACCACCATGCCATCTACACTGGGATGAATCCTCCCTTCATGTTCCATTAGTAAGGAGGAAGTTTCATTTGGACAGTTTCTTCCCAAGAACCACCGCTTTGTGAAACAGACTCCCAGCTTGATGTTATCCCAATCACTACAATTTTGACCCTATTCAAATCTAGGGTAAGCTCTTATCTTTCCAACATAGCCTCATGAATTGCACTTCTTATGCTCATACAGCACCACACAGTAACCCACTAACTTGAGTGGCTCTTGGGCCTTTTATTGGGTGAACATTAGCATAAAAAAGTAGACTTCAAGAGTGGGTCAGAGACTGCATCTTTTTGCATCTATTACTCCTGCAATATGATGAAAAACCACTAAAACCTAGTAGTACTGCAAGGCAGAGTTAGGACATGTTAGTGATAATGCTGATGTGACCCTGAAATCATGTTCAAACCCAGGTTCATTATCTGATGGGGAGACACGACTACTGCTGTTGCAGCAGTTGTCATATTGTTACGAGGATGAATTTCTATAATAAGGGATTCCACTGAGTTCTACTTGTTATTACAAAAAAAGTATTCATTCATGAAGTAGTTGTAAAATAGAGAAATTAGAAATAGAATGTTTGGAAGATTCTAGATCATTCTAGTATATTTGAGAAAAATCTAGATGATTCGAGAAATATCTAGAAATATGCAAATTAGGTGTTAGCCTCTATAAAAAATGGGATTTTGGAAAAGGGTTGTCAGTTGTTGAATGAGAATATCTGCTGTTATCAACTCCGGCTTTTGATTCAAGGACTATTATATCCAGCCGAAAGAATCTCTATAAAAAGTTGCCGACCAACCAAAACCCAAAAGAGAATTTCATGGAACAAAGTTGGTAAATAGAATTTTGACTAATTTTCATTGACCAAACTAAAAATTAATATTTATTTACACACCTTTGTGGATTTCCAAATATAGCACTTAGATTACTTCACTAGCCCTAAAGTGATAAAGATATTTGACTCCCTTTCCTTCTCCCTCGTAACACTTGCCAGTAACTCTGTGTTCTCTGATTTGTAGGCCACAATTGTTTATCCTGTATGTATTTTATGTTCTGTTTTATTAAATTAAATATTCGTTTGTGATTTAGCTCTATGTTGTGGTAAATCATTTTTTTTCCTTTGTTACAATTATCAACATGTAACAATATGAATTTATATAATCACACATATAAGAACATGTTAGAAAGCATATGCCATATTTCACTGTGGGGTCCCAAGTCATGGTAACCAGTTACCCAACTGAAGACTATGAATTTCATGATATATGCAGGGTAAGTTTTAAAGATAAGGGTATAAAAAGTGTGCATACACACATTTGAGAGAGAGTTCTATTTTCTTTTCAAAGATCTTCTATGTGCTGTGTTCCTTCAGGACATGCATAATCATAGCTCTCCACAACTTCTTATTTTTTTGTAGGTCTTAGCGGTATTTGTGTTTTTACTATCCCTCCTCTCACTCTATTTTGGTATCCATTTATACAAGCTCGTTAGTGTAACCATATGATTTCTCGCACATCTTTAAAAGATAAGGAAATAAATTCCTTCCTTTTAAGTCCACTCGGCTATTAGAGTTTTACTGGAATTTTGTCTCCAGTCCATCTTGAAGGAAACTTAGGGGTTAGTGTTTCAGGATTCTTGTCTCCAGTTTGCCTTTCAGTTGGGAAACATAAAAAAGTAAGTCTTTTGAAGATTTGACCACTGATGTGGCTTTGTGGTGGTCCCAAATTTTCTGAAGAGACAATTAGTCTTTAAGGTTACTTCATCACAGCCGAGAAGACAAACCTTTCCTCTGTTTGTTTTCAACATGTCTCATCACAGGTGAGTGGCGATGTCAAATTTTCCAAAGGCAAGGTTTCACTATTTTTTCATTTTATCCAGATATTTCAATTTTTCCTAGATATTTCAACTCTTCCGGATTTTATGTATAGTTGTCCTTTTTGTTTCAGTTTTCTTTAAAGCTTCCTCATTACTTACATGCTCCGTCTATGGTATTCTTAGTATCCTTCTGTAGAACCACATCTTTGCTGCCTCAAGTGTTAAATATAATTTGAGACTTTGATTTAAGGTATAGAAAATTTGCTCATCTATTTCATCTAAAAGTTACCTAATAAGCAGATAAATTGTATTTTAAGAATGTTTTTACAGAGATTAGACTAAATCTAACTGTAACCATTAATAAATATTATTTTCTTTTATGATGAAACAATCTCTACGCCTGTTCAGTGTTCATTTTGAAAAGGAGGATATCTTGTATAGTAAAGCCATCTCATTTGTAGTTAAATTGGGGTGCTGAAAATGTATCTTTCTAACTTATTCTCTTCACATACCTTAAATACAACAGCTTGAGCATGCTGGCCTTGTTCAAATTGTTGATCATGCTAGATAACATGCTTTTTCCCAGAAACTGTAACTAAGGTCTGCTCAGCATAGTTGCAGTATAAACTACAGGTGGCTCTGTGGGTGTTGCATAAACACAATTGCAACTGAGCAAGCATCTGCAATAGGGATTGGATAGCCACCCTAGTAGATAGGTATCCTCAAATACAAGTGGTCATATATATATATATATATATATATATATAGACACACACACACACAATCTCTGATATTGAGCACTTTATCCCGTAAATATAGCACACCTTAAGAAATATATATATATATATATATATATATATATATATATATATATATCTGGATTATCTGGAGATACCTGAAGAAGGTTGGAGAGCACAACAACCAAAATGTGATATAAACAACAAAGATAAAGACATAAGTCTGAATGTAAATAATATAAATACATTATTTTAATTAACTTTTAAATTTATACTATTAACTTACATAAATATCTGTCTGTATTTCCGAGATGAGTTATTTTAATTATTTACACTATTTACATCGTTCGGTATGTTGTCCTCAGCTTTATTGCCATATTCACAATGTTTTGGCCATTGTACGCTTCGACCTTCAGCATCTGTCTATATTTCTGAAATGAGGTATTGTAACTATTTGCATTATTCAGACTGTTATCCTCATTTTGGTTGTTATATTCACTGCATTTTAGTCGTTGTACACTCCATTTGAAATTCCAATAACTTCAAGAAGGCCAGAGCATACAACGGCCAAAATATTGTGAATATGACAATCAAGATGAGGACAACAGTCTGAACAATGTAGATAGTGTAAATAACTTGCATGAAATTTTTTATTTTTTATTTATTTGAATGGCTAATTTAACACTTTAGTGTCCAACACAGTCAAACCTGACTTGTAAATATGGGCTCTCAAAGTCTCTCTGTATTTGCATGACTTCCTACATTATTTGCATTTATGCCTTTATATAATGGCAGAGTATACATGTGGTGGGTTACGGCAGGTTGAACATTGAGAGCAGTTATTTATGGGATGAGTTTGGGTGCATTTTAATGGTAAAGGGTTAACTTGATCATATCTCCATTGAAGAAATTCAATCTTCACAGTGAGCATGGGGGGAATTTACGGTTATTTATATGCAATTACAATATACTGAGATTGTTTGCCATGATTCTTAAACAATCCTGCATGTTAACTTTGTTAAATTGACTTAATGTCCTCTAATGCCGAAACAATGAAGGTCAGCCTTTAATGGACAGAAGAATTAATGATGTCTCTCTTATATGCTGCTTTCTATCATTGTAACTATGCATCAATGAATTAAATTACGATTGTCTGGAATTAAAATTTTTTAAATACCTAATGGCACCCTGGGGAGATAGCTAAAGCAGTTTGTTGCACTATGACATGTACCACTTTGGGAATCACTTGGTTAGTAAATATCTAAAAGCAACTAGAGTTTCTTTGTTATAAGATTCTCTCAGGCGAGTAAACAAGATAATCAACTTTGTTTCTTCATCCAATATTGATGTAGATTGAGTAGCCATGGTTAAATACAAAATAACAACTGTCCAACAAACTGAATTAACAAAATTTACAATAACAAGAAAAATAATATAAAGCAAGCAAAGAATATATGCAAGGCAAATTAACAGTAATATGGTAAAAAGTTCACAAAGAATTGGGATTGACACATACAAACAAGTTCGGAGAAGCGAATATAGCATTTTTACTTCAAGAGAAGACAGACCTGGACTGAGTCAGATGAAACCAAACCATTTGTGTGCTTCTGCCTATAAATTGGGGATGGTAAAGTGCTTTGCAGTCATTCCAAATCAGATTGAAACCAACAAAATCATAAAAAATAGTTAAAATCACAATTTGAAAAAAAATTTCAACCCATGGATGAGATTATGGTGAAAGTGTCAAAGCAGCTGATGGTGATTCCAAAAAGTTGTTACAAATTGTTTTGAAAATTGTTTTGATTACTAAGATGCACTAATTTAAGTGCCTGATGGTCCCAAGAAAAGTACTTTGAAGAGGACTAAGGCATCATTGCCTTAGAGGACTATTTTAACGATTCATATTTGTGGAGTGAGTGATCATGGTTAAATGTAAAATAAATGATCGTACTGTCCAAGAAACAAAATTGACAAAGTTTGTAATAAGCAATAACCAGAAAAATGAAAAGAACAGGAGAAAAAAAATAATATAATGCAAGCAAACAATATATATAAGGCAAAGCAACAGTAATATGGTAAAAGTTCACAAACTAAGAGTTGGGGTTGACACACAAAAGCAAGTTTGGATAAGTTAATGTAGTGTTCTGACTTCAAAACAGACCAGGACTATTTCAGATAAAACAAGTGCAGAATGAATGAAATATTTTGTATTGGTATGTGTAAACAAGTAGTAATAATATTAATAATACTAAGTTCAGTGATAATTAAAATTTTCAAATAATTATAATTGAAATTCTATAAAAAAGAAGTTTGACATTGAATGGAGGCCATTCAAAGTGACATTTGAGTGAAGTTAAATTACAGAACATTTGGACATCAAGGAAGAGATGAAGTAAATAACAATGAATAACATTTTGAAGACTGTGTCTCTCTCTCTCGTCAATCATTGCCTCCTTAATCACTCTTGTCAATCTTTGCCTCTCCCCTCCCCCTCTCGTCAATTATTCAGTCACCCCTTTTGTCAGTTATTCAGTCCTTCCCTCTCTCTCTCGTCAGTTATTCAGTCCTTCCCTCTCTCTCTCTCGTCAGTTATTCAGTCCTTCCCTCTCTCTCGTCAGTTATTCAGTCCTTCCCTCTCTCTCGTCAGTTATTCAGTCCTTCCCTCTCTCTCGTCAGTTATTCAGTCCGTCCCTCTCTCTCGTCAGTTATTCAGTCCTCTCCCCAGTTATTCAGTCTCCCTCTCTCTCGTCAGTTATTCAGTCTCCCCCGCTCTCTCGTCAGTTATTCAGTCCCCCCTCTCTCGTCAGTTATTCAGCTCTCTCGTCAGTTATTCAGTCTCCCCGCTCTCTCGTCAGTTATTCAGTCTCCCCCGCTCTCTCGTCAGTTATTCAGTCTCCCCCTCTCTCGTCAGTTATTCAGTCTCCCCCGCTCTCTCGTCAGTTATTCAGTCTCCCCCGCTCTCTCGTCAGTTATTCAGTCTCCCCCTCTCTCGTCAGTTATTCAGTCTCCCCCGCTCTCTCATCAGTTATTCAGTCTCCCCGCTCTCTCTCGTCGATTCAGCTCTCCCCGCTCTCTCGTCGATCTTTTACTCCCCCTCGCTCTCTCGTCGATCTTTTACTCCCCTCGCTCTCTCGTCGATCTTTTACTCCCCCCTCTCTCGTGATCTTTTTACTCCCCCCCGCTCTCTGTCCGATCTTTTTACTCCCCCGCTCTCTGTAATGGAAATCTATAAAAATTCTGTTTTTATATTTGGATGGACATATTATATATTTGCAGGTTAATAAGTTAAAAATAATTGTCATTGTTAACATTAACTCTCCATCCCAAATCACCTTGTAAAATTTTGGTTTTATTGCTTATAAAAATAACATGCATTTTATGCATAGCTAATATACATACTTGTCTTTCTCAATGGCTACTGTTTTTTATTTATTTATTTTTTTTTTACAGTTGATACAAGGCTCGAGAGCCACTCATGGTAGAGTTACTGAATGAGGTGTGGCAGAACATGAGTGAAAGTGAAGATTACAAGAATGAGGATAGATAGTGGTTGACATTTGACTAGAAGAGGTTAAAATTGAAGTGTAGAGGTTTATAGGACTAGTTTTACTGACAATAGTAAGTCTTCACTGAGGTTGGATGTGTAGGTGGTGTGATTGATAGCAGTTCAGAATGAGAAATCAGAGCTGTGTTGGAATTCCAGTTGGGGTCATTACATTCACTCACCTGCAAATACCACTGGGAATGGATCCTTCTATTCCCTCCAGCTATGGGTTAAATAGTGAGACTTGTATCTGTAAAAATCATTATTCTCAAAAAAAAAAAATTAATCCAATATTCACTTGCTTTAAAAAGAATTATCTGTCTATATCTCTGAGATGAGGTATGATTATTTACATTATTTATATTATTTGGACTGTTATCCTAATCTTCATTCCAATCAACTGAAGAAGGCTGGAGCATACAATGGCTGAAATGTTGTGAATATGGCAGTGAAGATGAAGATAACATTCCAAATGATGTAAATAAAAAGAATTATTTATACAATAAAAGAAAAACAACCATCAAGGGTTGATAAATTGTTTAAAAACAAAAACAAAAAAATCAATCAGTTTCCCCTGTGGTAGCCTTATGCCTGACTGAACTGAGGATATATAGCTGTTCATCTAAATGTGTGATGTCTAAAAACAGTATTTTGAAGCAGTTTTTAAATATGCTGATAGCATTGCTATATATATATATATATATATATATATATATATATATAGAGAGAGAAAGAGCACATTGTCTATTTCTATGCAGATGGTATTGATTTGTATGATCCAGTCCACAGATTGGACATAAGAGCTCCTTCTGCCTATTGCTTGTTGCCATGGCAACCAGTGGTGCTACTGACTTACTGTCCATTATTTCTTTCTACCTTAAGATATATTCTGAAATGCAGCCACCCTGCATTACCCATACTGCATTCATTCATCAGTTTGTCAGCATCTACAAAATATTCATGCATTTGGAAAAGTACAACTGACAACTGGTGTATTTGGTGAACAAACATTGTGTGTGTTTGCACTTGTATGACAGTGGATGTGTATTTGTATAGTTTTTTACTAATTTTGTGTGTGTGTGTGTCATATATATGTGTGTGTCTGATTAAATAAATTACAAACATTTATGTCTACTTATTTTTAGCATAATCCATTCATATTCACAGATATTTTTTCATGAATTACAATCAAATGATACAAGAAATGCACTGTAACAATGAAAATTACATTTACACCAACATTCCTGTCTCCATTTCCATTATAGAAAAATACTGATTGATAACACAACTATCCTAAACCAAAAAAATAAATTAAAACTACAGATCCTTGAAGCCGACACTGAATATAATCAGCTCCAAATATTGTAATAATGTTCTAAAATGCCTATAAAAAGAAGTCTCCATGCTTTAATGTGTGCATGACCATGACATTGCAACATAAAAGAAAAAATACTATAATGGATAATTTTTCCACGTTCTAATGAATGCTAAAGCATAACTGTCAACTGTTACATTTAAACGTAAAAAGAAAAAATTCAGTAATTGATAGCTACACATTTTTTTTACCTTACCTGTTGCACCCCTGATGATGATCTCAGAAAGAGATGGAAAGTACTTGGGTAATAAAAGTGATTCTCACTGTTACAGTGCATTTCTTGCATCATTTGATTGTAATACAAAGAAAAATATTCGTGAATATGAAAGGATTATGCTAAAAATAAGCAGATATAATGTTTGTAATTTATTTAATCAGACATGATAAAAGAAAATTTGTTGCCTATATATATATATATATATATATATATATATATATATATATATATAATAGATAGATAGATAGACATGTTTTGTTGAATAATTTAGTTATGGGATCCTTTCATATTCATAGAATCCCTTCTATTTTGAATAAGCTTTTTTTGTGGGAGGATGAGAGAAAATCACTGTGTTGGTACATATTTCTTTTATTCAGAGAACTTTCGATATAATGTCATTATCAGGGTATTGTTTATTGCAAGACAAACATTGTAATGTTCATTATTGTTGAACACCAAATTGTTCTGTTTGTCTGAAAGTTAAATTTCTTTCTCGTGGAGTAAAGAACAATAACCTGATGATGCTTTTGTGATATGTCAAAAATAATTGGAATAAAAGAAATATGTATCAATATGGTGATTATCTCTCCTCCTTCAATAATGATACCAAAAAGATTATCCGTGAATATGAAAGGATCTAATTGAAAATAAGGAGACAGAATATCTATCTATGTATATCTATCTATATCTATATCTATATCTATCTATATCTATGAGAGAGAGACACAATAGGAAAATTTATCTTAGCTGACACATTTTGTCCTCTTTGAGACTTTATCGAGACAAATGAAAGGATTTTATTTTGCATCTAGTATTTATAAACAGAAGTAAAATTATTTATTTTTTTTTTTTTCTTAGAATTATTAAATTTAAAAATCATCAAAAATATACATCGGACTAAGTGAAAGTCAAGGTCAATAATGGAGTTTGATGTATATTTGTAAGCATTGTTGAATTTAATAATTTTGAAAAACTTCTGTTGATAAATACTTTTTACAAAATAAAACCCTTACATTTGCCTTGATAAAATCCAAGGACAAAAGGCATCAGCTGAGAGATATTTTTTTTTTTTTTTAATAGTTACATCTGAATTTTTACATGCACGCACGCATACACACACACACACACACACACACACACACACACACCAATCCTTACTGATTAGCCATGAAGGAACAGACGGTCAGGCAAACCCAATTTCATAATATATATATATAATGAAATGGTCTAAGTCTGGCAATTATTTTAATATATTTATTGTTTATACGTTATTTAAGTAAATGCTCTGTTTATAATAAATAGTATTAACATTTACTGGCCTGAATGTCAGAAATTTCATAGAAAACATGTGTTCTCTGACAGAAATTGAACTTGTATCCTGCACGGAACTGTCATATAACCTGATGTGCTATACTATTTAGCTACAGAGGAAGCATCTGGTTAGCAAGGTCAAATTACTGCTTTTAAACTACAAATTTCCCATGATTTATCTCAAATATCATTTGTTTATGTTAAGATATGCTTTGAGCAGATATCAGCAGGCATTCAGGCCAATAAATGTTAATAATGTTTATTATAAACAGAGCATTTGCTTAAATATTTGTATCTATAAAAATAACATATAAACAATAAATATATTAAAATATATGTGCATGCTTTCTACTCACCTGAAATCAAGGTATCTAATTATGTTTGTTTTTACTTCCATGGAATATAATATTCTCTTCATCAGTTAAGATTTGATATTAACACTTTCACTTTCTATAAATGTCTCTGATTGATGACATTTCATAAATAAATTTTTTCTCTTGTTTCCAGTGTCCAAATAGGATCTGTTCATTGGGTATTCAACCCCCAAATCACTTAGGAACTTATCAAAAACAATAATTATAAACATTGTTATGAAATGTGAAAGAAAATTTTTTTTTCTGTTGAAGGCTTGTGTGTGTGTGAATTGAAGCAATACGCACTCCTTTAATTGGTATCAAAATTTAATTAAATGCAGAAAAAATATCAACTGCTTTCCAAACTCAAAAAAACTCCAAATTAGTGGCACAATATTTCAAACAGTAATTTCTCAAAGTTTGCTCTCAAGAAATTCTTTAGAATTTTTTTTTTTTTACTTTTTACTAATTGTCACTCAATCCAAGGCTCGAGAGCCAATCAAGATATAAGTACAGTCAAAATGGTAATAATAATGTGTGTGATATGACTAGAAGAGGAAGTGGAGGTTACGAGGATAAGGAGGATAGATAATGAAGGACACTTGACTTGAAGAGGTAAAGTGTTCAGAGGAAGCACTGATGCAAGTGTCTGCTTCACAAAGTGGCTGTTGTGGAATAAAGGCTGTCAGAGTAGAACCCTCCTTACATTTGGAACATGGGGGAAATAAGAATGATTTAACTCCATGGAAAAAAATAATAATCATATAAACCATGAATAATAAAAATGTCTATTTTCTGCAATATTGTTCTCAGAGATCTGCACAGATGGAAGAATGGAAGATGCATTAGTGTGCCTAATATATGTTGCATTCATTCGTACTCTTCTCACCAGCATTGAATTTAACTGATAAATTGATACTGGGATAAGAATAGTAATAATGGTATAATAATATTATAATAATGAAATAATGTGCATTTTTTATATATATATATATATATATATATATATATATATATATATATATATATATTTACTTTGTTTTTTTATAGACTGACATACGTCTATTTCATATTTGTTATTTTACTTGATAAAAAGAATTTATATATATGTATCTTTATGCATTTATATATGTATGTGTATATATTTGTATGTCTTTAAACATGTGCATATGTTTATATATTTGTATATTGATTTTCCGTGTTTGTGCAATTTTGACGGGTAGTTTGTGTTGTCTCTCTAGTTATTTGGATGATTGAATTTTAATGATTTGGACAGAAAACGTAACGTATTACTAAGAACAATACATGAAAATTTAGGCATATTTATTTTGTTTGTTTTTTTCTTTGAATAATTTTGTAAGTTTCTAAACTTGATGCATGGTTATATTTAAAGTTTAATATTCATAACTTTTATTTTTTTTAAACTTTTTATTTTTTAATTACATAATAAATTGGAGATCATTTAGTTATCCTGATTTCCT